TTTCTCTTCCAACGTATCGTACGCCCGTTTATGATATGTCATCAACGTTAATGTACAGCTTGATTCAGAACCCTTAATGAGAAAAAATTTTGAGCTGATTTACTTTTCCTCAAGGTTTTTAACCGCGTTGATGCCGTTTGCCCTTTATCAATGCGTGAGCTCATGTGTCTTCGGATGGATACAGGATAACCCATACTTCGTAATTGGCATTATGGTGGACTTGTAATGGCCTTATTTAAACAGCGACGCTGTCCGGCACATATTGTTGCGCGAGACAAATAAATAGAATGTTTTTTGTTTTGTTTTTGCTTGTCTCGTGTTTACGTGTTTGATTTGAGATAGTTTTGAATCAATTATTACTCCCAGCTCTTTAGAGTCAACATTTGATTTCAATATTGAACCAGCCAGTTGCATACTCTGAAGCTTACCACTGAAAACTAATTGTGAACACTTCTCGAGAGCAAGGGACATCTTGCAGAAAGGACCAATTTTCGTTTGGATAGATGATGATTGTCACAATTTTAAAATTGTTGGCGTATATATACGGATCAGATAAACTCAAGCCATCGATGATATTGTTAATGAAAAAGCTGATAAGCAGCGGGCCCAAGAGGAATTCCTTTGGCCCACCGCTTGTTACGTTTTGCTTAAAGGACGTCTAATTTCATTAATTTTTTAAGGCCACCAAGGTGGTGGTCAATTGGTTTTTCTAGTAGAAACCAAGATCACGAAATATTTCAGCCGTCATGGAATTTTAAAAATTCGATGAATTACCACAAGGTTTGGATAAATTCAGTTAAAATGCAACTACTTTGCCAGTTGAGCGTTTTTCTAGTGCTCTAGTGGTTTTACTCAGAGGATAGAGCTTGTCTGGACTAATAACTTTAGTTTGATGAATCTATTTTGATTTGATGAATCTATTTTGATGGTTGCCTATGAAGTTTATCAAGGATCTGGGTCGCCAGTGTTCAAGATTGTGCCTGTCATTTTTTCTAATTTTTTTTAAATATGGCAGCTGTTTTTCAGCTGCGCGGTGTTTTTGCCAGGCTTTTGGTCATTGGTTCGACGTGCACTTCATTTGCCGTATTTTGATCTGTTTACTGAAAAAAAATGATGGTAGACCATGTGGTCATCGTTAATTGGTCAGTTTTGTAGTCATCAAGCTTTCTTCGATAGTAGACTTTGCAAATATAACGTCATCAACGTTAATTTACAGTCAGATTGAGAACAACAAACAAACAAAAAAAGAATTAATTACCTTATTAAAAATAAGGCAAAATTTATATGAATAGATGAAAAAATATGTTAAAAACTAAGATCTACAGAAAGAGCAACGGCACTTCAAAAACCAAGTGCATGAGTTCTCACGATTGAAGAGTTTAGAGCGCTCTAGTAAGAGGTCTTTGAGGGTACTGCGAAAACGGCGTAAAGAGGTGAAAAAGTCGATCTCCGTTGTTTTCAGCATGTAGTTCCCGGCACGTGCTGTTCGGTGGGTGAAGAACGTCTCGGTTGACCATCTTCTTGCGGTTTTCACTGTCATCAACGCGCTGGATCTTGATGTCGTCACCTTAAAATAATAATACGCAGCAAAAGGGAGATCTGAGTCGCCATTTAACATTTTGTGGAAAAGGATAAGGTCGTTAAATATAAGCGTGAAGGAGATGGGAAGCGAATTCGTTAAAGAAAATTGCTTCATATAAGTTAAATGACCTGTAACCCAGGTAGGACATTTCCTGTTGAAGTTCTCAAGCTTCCTTAACATAGTTAAAGAAGGAGACCACACAGAACTAGCACACAATAAAATACTTTTAACACAAGTATTGATGAACATGAGTTTAACAGAAAGTGGAATAAGATATGGAATAGAACGTTTGATGAAATGAAAGCTTTTATTGCTCGATAGAAATTTTTTACTAATATGGTCTGACCAAGTAAGATTAGAGCTAACAAGCAGACCAAGGTCTTTGAGTAAATTAATAGAATGAACAGGTTGGTTGTTAACAAAAATACAATCAGGAAATTTGCCATTGAAAATAATGAAATTGCACTTGTTTTTATTGATCTTAAGACCATTCTGAGTACACCAATGAGTGAAACTGTCTACATCAGACTGTAAATCACTGTAATTTGTCTTACAAACGAGATTTGAGTCATCAGCGAAAAGAAAACAGTTTGAATGATTAAATATATCAGGAAGATCATTAATAAACAAAAGGAAAAGCAGAGGACCCAGTACGCTCCCTTGAGGTACACCACTAGTAACCGGTAAAGTGGTGGAAATGCTTGGTCGAACTTTAACAAATTGAAAACGGTTTTAAAGATAAAAATCAAAAGAGTGGTAAAAATGTCGTCAAAACCAAAAGCAGCAAACTTTTGTACAATAATGTCGTGCCTGACAGAATTGAAAGCTTTGCTAAAATCGAAATACATGGCAGCGCAAGGAATTTTGGCATCATGAAAGTGATATACTTCATCTAGATATGAGAGCATTTGCGTTATGGTGGAACGCTTCTTGCGGAATACATGCTGAGCATTCGAATTTTTGTATCGAACTCGAGGGTAAATATAATTGAACAAAATACGCTCAAAAATGAGTGAAAGAGGAGGAAGTATGCTAACTGGCCAATAATTGGTAATATCATAAGGAGAACCAGATTTGAAAACAGGAGTGATGAATGCAGTTTTCCAGGAATCGGGCCAAACACAAGATTGTATAATGGATAAGAAAAGGAAAGAAACAAGCGGAGAAAGAATGCTTTGACAGGATTTATAAATGAAAGCAGGTATATTATCTGTAGAACGAGTCTCTTTGCGTCTAGCTAGGAGCTCGCCAACAATACTGGGGGAGACATCAACTTCGGAAAGTTTGATTTCAAAATCAGCCAAACTACCACCAGCGGAAGGACTATTTTCAGATAATTGATAAACAGAAGCGAAATATTGATTGAAAGTCTCACTAATTAAAACATCGCTCTCGACATGTTTGCGTCCCCAAAAAATTTTAGTAGGGAAAGGTTGTGTTGATTTAAATTGGTTAAGAAACATAAAAGCATGCCTGGAAGAATTCGGCGAAAAACGTTGAATCAGCAGGGTTTTATCGAGTTCAACTGAGTTTGAGAAATCATTCTCTAATTGAGACGGATATTGGGGATTAAAACAATTCGAATTGTTCATAGTTCTCAATTTATTAGCAATATGAATAGAATGAGATGAAAAGTAAAACGGAAAATCTTTTCTGCGAGCCGTAATTTTACGACATGAAGAATCAAGTGCTTGATAAACAGTTTCGTTGAACTTGTCAATGAACTCATTATGACAGTTTGAATGCAAGATAGAGTATAAGGGGGATATAGCCCGACTGAAACTTTCTAAATTAACTTTTGAGTACTTTTTGAGTAAGTGACAGATCGCTTTGTAGTAAACTGTGAAACTGAATTTGCAGCAAATACATGCGCAAAAATAGGAAAATGATCAAATAAACAGTGGCACCTCGAAAAACTATGAATCGATGAGGATCTGAAACGCAGAGCAAGTCAAGGATGTTGCCCGAAACTATGGTGCTCAAATCAACATTTTGAAGCAAGTCAAGGTCATCTAGTGCTGTCAAAAATTTGTTTGAATAATCAGAAGTAGCAGTGTGTGAGCTCCAGTAGACATCAGGAAGGTTGATGTCTCCGAGAACTGCGGTAACAACTCGGTCTTTCGCAATTTTGCGACCGAGATATTTTACAACCTCATCGCGGTGGTTAAACATAGCCTCAACAAGCACAGAAGAATCAACTCTGACTAATGAAGTTTGAGGTGGATTGTAAATCAATAAGAAACTATAAAATGCTTTCTGGAAATCAATAATGATAGAACAGCAAAAATCAGAGTAAGAGAAGGATGATAAAAGACTGAGTTCCAGGCTCACACGGACAGCAATAAGCACTCCTCCATGTGCTCCTGAAGTTCTGTCAAGTCGCATGAGGACGTGATAGCCAGAAGCAGGGAAGATTTCGTGATTCTCTATCTCATCATAGAGCCCAGTTTTGGTGACAAACAGTAAATCAATGTTGTTAGAAAGCAGAAAATTGCATAGCTTGAGACGTTGAGTACTTGTTATCAAGCTTTGAGCGTTGATAAGACACAACCTCAAATCCGCTAGTCATTCGGGTAACGGAATTTCCACAATATTATGGTAAAGTTTCAGGTCTTTTATCTTGAGATCGCTCTTTGGAATGTTGTCTTTGGTGGAAACATCAGTCCTCAGTTTCAATAATTTACGCAATTTGATTTGGTCAGTAGGAGACAGAAATTTTGAAATGTAAATGGGAGATTGAAAGGATTGCAGTTTGTAAGCTTTAGATAAAACTTTGACACAGTCAAATTTGGAAGTAAATTCAACAAGTAAGGTGCGTGGGCGCGTACTGGTAGCAATACGTTTTCCCAGGCGCTTGAAAAATTTAACTTTAACAAAAGAATCCTCCCCTAGGTGAGTCAAAATAGCAGTAATTTGGTGAATATCAGATTCAGTTTGTGATTTGAAATCACCTCTGTTTTCGGATATACCATCAATTTTCAATTCACGAGTCCAAGTTTTATCGACAGGAGAAGAAATTGCAGGAACAGTAGTAGGAGTTGAAGCAACTGCGGCGTATGTTTGAGCAGAGCTCGAAACTGTACCAGCAATTTCAGTAAATTTCTCAGTAAGTTTATCGGTAAAATTAGATAAAATAACTTCGATCTTTGGAGTAATAACCTTATCCAAGGTGTTGTCCAAGATTTTCTGATTGATTAGTTCATTGGATTTCAGACACTCACCGCAGACATTGAATGTTGTCAATCTTGGTGATCTGTTGAACGAGTTCTAGTGATAGTCCACAACACTTGTCATGCATCCACTTCCTACACGAGTAGCAGAAGATCCATCCACCAATCGTCTCAGAACATTTGTTACACACATCTTGTTCAGCAGTTGAATTTGCTCGATTCGTGCGTTTGATCGGAGCCATTTATCTATTTAATAAGTTTATCACAACAATTAGGCTAAAACTGTGACCTAATTGTAACACCTAATGAGAAAAAATTTTGAGCTGATTTACTTTTCCTCAAGGCTTTTAACCGCGTTGACGCCGTTTGCCATTTATCAATGCGTGAGCTCTTGTGTCCTCGGATGGATACAGGATAACCCATACGTCGTAGTTGGCATTATGGTGGACGTGTAATGGCCTTATTTAATCAGCGGCGCTGTCCGGCACATAATGTTGCGCGAAACAAGATAGAATGTTTTTTGTTTTGTTTTTGCTTGTCTCGTGTTTACGTGTTTGATTTGAGATAGTTGCGAGTCAATTATTACTCCCAGTTCTTTAGATTCAACATCTGATTTCAATATTCAACCAGCCAGTTGCATACTCTGAAGCTTACCACTGAAAACTAATTGTGAACACTTCTCGAGAGCAAGGGACATCTTGCGGAAAGGGCAAGTTTTCCTTTGGATAGATGATGACTGTCAGCATTTAAAAAGGTTGGCGTATATATACGGATCAGATAAATTCAGGCCATCGAGGAGATACTTACTGAAAAAGCTGATAAGAAGCGGGCTCAAAAGGAATCCTTTTGGCCCACCGCTTGTTACGTTTAGCTTAGATGATGTCTATTTTCATTTATTTTTTAAAGGCCACCAAGGGAGTCGTTTAGTTTTTCTTGTAGAGACCAACATCAAATTCTTCAGCCATCATGGAGTTTTAAAAATTTGATACTTTACCACAAGGTTTGGAAAAATTCAGGTAAAATACAACTACCTTGGCTGTTGGTGTTTTGTCTAGAGCTCTAGTTTTTCTTCAGAGGCTAAAGTGTGTTTGGACTAGTTATCTGTGTTTGAAGAATCTATTTTGATGCTTGATTATGAAGTTTTTAAAGTTTATCAAGGATATGGGTCTCCAGTAATCGACTTTGTGCCTGTCATCTTTTCTTCAGTTTTCATCTTTTCTTCAAGTTTTCATAAAATGGCCACTGTTTTTCAGCAGCTCGGTGTTTTTTCCAGGCTTTCGATCATCTTTTTTTGACGTGGAATATATTTGCCATATTTTGAGCTGTTTTCAGAAAGAAAATTGATGGTAGATCGTGTGGTCATCGTTAATTGGTCAGTTCTGTGTTCATCAAGCTTTTTTCGATAGTAGACTTTCCACATGTAACGTCATCAACATTAAACTACAGTTTGGTTGAGAGCTTTTTTGAAAAAAAACTCGAGCAGATTTATTTTCATGATGGGACTTATTAAATAGTTTCAGATGAATGATGCAAAATGGTTTATTTTGTGGGGGCCAGCTCCCTGAATTATCTGAAGTCATCACTGGGGCACAGAGAACGTTTACGATTTGCAAGACAATCCACAGCCATCTCCGGGCTTTCATTGAACCCTTATTCAAAGAATCCTCTGAAGATAGTGCAAAATCTAGTAAAAAGACAGGGTGTGCTCCGACTTCGATCAAATCTTGTCATCTGGCATGACACAATAAACAACTCACTGAAAAAACACCGAAGTAACTACAACCCATTAACGAAAAAATTCCACCCCCTCACCCCATCTCAACTAGTCGAAGAGCTTAGGCATCTAAACAACACCCACAAGATAGAGGCCATCGTCTACACTCGCAGAGAAGGTACACGCGATATTTACGAAGAGCTCAACTCCAGCGGAATCTTGGTAATTGACGCCATTAGAGATCTCATATCCAGTAGAAAACGCAAGGATATCCAGCTTAAGTACGAAATCGCAAAAGTCCATCCCGACATTGTCATTGAAAAGCGGCTCGTTAATACAATAATCCGAAACAAATCAGACCTTACTGGACTCAAGAAAAGCAGGAAGAAGAGACTGAGCTACAAGAACAACAAGAAGTCAAGAATCGAAAGCGACCAGAGCACAAAAGAAAGCAATAAGAAGCTGAGCAAGAAACAAAAGGACAGGCTCAAGAAGCGTATCGCCCTTGGACTCCAAAAATAAGTAAGACTCTCCTCGCCTTTAATTATATTCTTGTTGAGTACTTGTGATTCTAACCGCCCCAGTGCATCCATAGGAATTAAGTTTCCTAGGAAGCGCGGGAAAGTCAGAGCATAAGTAGATATATACCCAACCGAGTTGAACTAAACCCAGTACATCTATAGGAATTCAGTTTTCTTAAGAAGTGCGGGTAATTTCAACTCCGGTTTGTCAATTCCAACCTGTGTTCCAACAATCTCAGTGCATTCTTGGGAATTAAGTTTCTTAGAAAGCGCGGGATAGTAGGAGCTCACGTTTTGCAAACAAGGCCTTTACCCCTAGTGCATCGTAGGAATTAAGTTTCTTACGAAGCGCAGGAGATAAGGGTCTCTTTTCTATTCCTTTTTCTATTCCTACACATTCCACTTCCCCAATACATTCCACAATGGCGCCATCAAAACCGAAAAACTGCTGCAAAACATGCACAAATCCCATAACGGCACGGGATGCCGTGTTTCTATGTGTCTCATGCGGAGACTCAATGCACTTGACCCCTAAGTGCACCGAAATGAGTGAACGAGCAATCTTCGGGATAAGTGAGGTCAGCCAAAACCTCCTACTTATCTGCAACGCGTGTGTCCGCCTAAACCATAGGGACCGCATGCTGGACAAACTTGCATCCACCAGAGAAAACAACGACATAAAGCCAATAGTGGAGAGCGTTGAAGAAGTCAAAAATCAGCTTCAATCCCTGACAAGTAACATCGGTAACGTCGAAGGTATAAAGGACCAGATAACTTCCCTGAGAACCGAGATGGCTCCACGACCTGACAGTGAACTCACCACCAGCAGAACAACAAAAACATCAGAACCAAAAACCCAGAAGAAAAAAAACTACGACGGATTACGGGTGCGAGGCATTGCAGAATCGAAGGCCAAATCGCCAAGAGAACGGTACGAACACGACGTGAAGGAAGTTAAAAGTATTCTGGAATTCCTAAAAATCGACTGTCCGATCGATGATGTAAGGCGATTGGGAAACTACGATGGCAAAAAAGACAGAACACTCATAATCAAAACAACCAGCGAACACCATCGACGGCTGATACTGCTGTCGCTATACAAATTAAAAACTTACTCTAAACAGGTATATATGAGCAAGGAACTATCCCCTGAAGACCAAAAAATTGAAAACGATGCTTTGAAACTACGCCGAAAGATGATCGAAAACGAATACGACAAAAAACGTCTACGAATCAGAAACCTCAAGCTTCAACAAAACACAAACGAAACTGACGACAAGAATCTAGACAACTGGGAATATGTTCCGCCAGAACCAGAACAATGACTACATACTAAAAGTTCGCTCAGTATTCTAAATTTCAATGTCAGGAGCCTGCTAGACATTAGTAGACGCATGACATTGGCAAATGCAGTTCTTACAAACGACTACGACATCATCTGTCTAACTGAAACATGGCTCACAACTGCAGTACCAGACGAGGCCCTCTTTCTATCAAACTACACAATACACAGAACAGATCGACCCAACACGGGTCAGAACACTAAGCACGGCGGAGTCCTCATTGCAGTGAAAGGTTTAACTCATAGCAGAATAGAACTCAAAACCGAACTAGAATGTGCTGCCATCGAAATCAAATCTCGTCAGAAGCAGATAGTAATCTGCTGCTTCTACAATCCCCCCAAAAACAGCCCGTATAGAGCATCTCCCGACAACATAAAAGACGTCTTAAAACAGCTTCATGACTCGCTTAGTGACAACTCATCGCAACTCATCCTAACCGGAGATATAAATCTTGCAGAAGCAAACTGGGACAGCCTAAACTCAAACGACGAATACGAAGCCAACATACTGGACACTTCAGAAAAGTACGATCTACATCAGCTAATCACGTGCCACGAAGGCAAGAGCCTCGATGTATTCCTTGCCTCTGACCCGACTCTTGTGCTAAGTTCGGCTATCGACTCAGCACTAGAAGCACAATACTCATCAAACGGAAAAAAGTGTTCCGATCATCACGCATACAAAACTTATTTGTCCCTACCAACTTTGAGCAAAATAACAACCCCAGCTATTAAACGCGCATACCAGAAAACCGACTGGGATGATTTCAACAAACAAATCGTCAGCCAGCCATTTACACCATACTGCTACAGCAACATTGACGTCCTACTGTTACAGTGGTACAAATGGCTTGAGAACATCATCGACGAAAAAATACCCCGAGTCACCAAACACAGGGCAGAAATTCCACCCTGGATTAGATCATCCACCTCACATCAAATGAAGATAGTCGCGACAATGAAGCGTAAATACGCAAAAGCAAACTCACTCTCGCTACTCATGAAAAACAAAAAAGCTGAAAAAAGCCTGAACGAAGAAATCAAAATGGATCAAGCCATATTCGAAGCTAAAGTATTCAAGAGCCGCCGCATGTCTGATCTTCAGAAATACTTGAAATCGATACACAAAAAGCATCCCCTACCAGACGAAATGTTCCTTAATCAATCACCGGACACAACTGAAACAGCAGTAAACAATGAACAAAAATGTTCTCTGTTTAACAAATTTTTCACCCAAGTTTTCAGCAAACAAGGTGAACTAACCGGCAAACAAACTTACATAAAATCAGAAACAAACCACCTGAAACTATCCGAGGAAGAAATAACCAGATGCCTCCAATCACTGAAAACAAAAAAGCATACGGTCCGGACAACATTGGAAACATTATCCTGAAACACGCGACATCACTCGCAAAATCTCTAAAGCTCATTTTTCAAGCCTGCATTAATAAAGGATCATTTCCACGCCGATGGAAAACCAGTGAAATAACACCAGTCTTTAAAGAAAACAACAAGGCAGACATATCGCAATACAGACCCATCAGTCTTTTGGCAAATGTATCAAAGGTATTTGAAAAAATACTCTTCGACCGATTATATCCAACAATCGAAACTAAACTACACCCAGCACAGTTCGGTTTCAGAAAAAACAGATCAGCGATCATACAACTTCTGTTGTTTCTGAACGAAATTTAT